TAGTAAAATATAACAAAAGCCAAACCATTGGAATTGTACAAAACAAACAGAAGGAAAAGAGCCCAAGAGAAGGCATGAGAAGCAGGGATCCACTCATTTCTACACTCAGGAAAACCCCTTTAAAAGAAAGACCTCCTCCCACTTATGCTCTCTTTCCGGTTCCTCTCTCTCCAGCTTTTTCTGCTCCTCTCTTCCTCTCTTTTCTCTGCTCTTCCCCTGGGGCAGACAGGACTTTTCCTGTCTCCCTCTTCTGTCCTCTCTGTGTCCCTGTGTCTCTTTACTTCTTTTCTCTTTCCTCCCCATTCCCTCCCTTTCTAATAAAAATTCTCACTTAAGCTCTGTCTGCCTGGCATGTTTGTCCCTCCACCTCGGTCACCTTCACCAGCCATGGAATCCGCCAAGGTTCCTCATGCGTTATTCTTAACAGTTACTCCTACAAGCTTTGTGCCACTATTGTACTATCCACCATTGCACGCCATTGTTGATCAAAGGTTTTGTGGCTGGGTTGGTGTTGACATTGCAACACCATAATATAAAGCCCATATCATTATAGTTGAATTTTAGCTTCAGTATTGAGATTACTGTATGTGATATGCAATTAAATCCAAGTACTTTATGATTAGTAGGTTCTTCTTGCTGGTAAATTTTAAGTAGTGTAGAACTATATTGTTATTTGTCTCAGTTCTATAAAAGAAATTTCACCTATACCATTTATAAGAAATCAGCCTTAAAAATTCTAAAAATATGGGAAGTACTTAGAATATGAGCTATTTTAAGAATTTTGTAGGCAAGCCTCAAGAATCCAACTAAAGGTGATACTGAAGAAAATGTGGTAGAGAGAGGAGGTGGGCAGAGGACTGTGTAGACAAGTACCTCTCCTGACTTCTATCAAACTGATCTTTGGTAGGACATTGCAGGTATGGTTATTAGTTTTTTGTTTGTTTGTTTTTCCGAGACAGGGTTTTCTGTATAACAGCCTTGGCTGCTTTGAAACTCTCTGAAGACCAGGCTGGCCTTGAACTCACAGAGATCTGCCTGCTTGTGCCTCCCAAGTGCTGGGATTAAAGGCGTGCGCCCTCACAGCCTGGCTAAATTTTTCTTGTATGTATCAGTTAATTCTAAATTTGGGGAAACCAAGCTTGCTATTTTTTGCCTTTTTTTTTTTTTTTTTTTTTTT